AGAGAGAGAGAGAGAGAGAGAGAGAGAGAGAGAGAGAGAGACCCATCCATCCAATAGAAAATGAGAGAGTAGCGAGTTTGATAAATCTAATCGAAACAAAGGGAAATATATACAATATTGAAATGCCATGCATACACCCGTCACCTAATCAACCACCCAACAAAAAAAAAAAAGAGGCAATTCTCCAATATATGATTTTTAATGGGCAAAATGATGCAAACGATCTACACGTCACAGAAAACTCGATCTTGATTCTTCTGTTCTTGTCTTGTTCAATTTTCTACAGCTTCCTTCCTCCTCTTATGGTAGATCATAATGGTCCAATATCTTAGGCAGGACGATCGCTCTCTATCAAGCCACTGACCTTGTTGAAGGATAGTGTTCTTGGTGCTGCAGCAATCCAGTCACATTAGGTGAACATTAAAGGTTGTTTACTTGAGAAAAACTAAGCAAAGAAGCTCTCATTTGCAAACTTCTATTTCAATTAGATTAGGCATATTGCAATTTTCTAAAACATAAAGAGATTGAAGATCTAATTTGCAATATAGCATGCACAGATGAGATAAGAAAAAAAAAATGGGGGCCATGAAATGTGCAACTTTGAACATTGTGATTGTTAGGATCCACTTCAATCAGTATAGCACTAGGCTTGGAAGTTGGAACTAACCTTTCCAAAATGAATCGACCTACCAAGCCCATTTGCATCCAAAGTCCTCATGATTCTAAGTCTCTTGACTGCTTCCAAGAACATTCTGCAAGTCAGGTTGGTATACCGAATCAGATAAATGCAGAAAGAAATAAGATATTGATAGAAGTAAGGATGAAAAATTAGTGCAGACAAAAAGTTTTAAATACCAGTCTGACAAAAATCCTGGTATCAGTTCGATTGGTATTATTGTTCTTTTTTCTTTTTTTCTGTTACTATTGTGGTACATGTTGGTTTACCGCCTGGTACGCTCGTACCCTACCAATTCTAGCTATGTACAATAATACAGACTGGTATTCGACCAAGATTTAAAACCTTAGCTCAGAGTAGTAGCTGTAACATTGCAACAACAACAAAAGTATGCATTGCACAAAAAATCTCAAATACAGTATTTCAACAACAAAAGTAAGCAATGATCTGCTAATGTATTTCCACTAAAATTATAGCTAAGCTAGTCAGCAGCTTCAGAAAAAGGTGCTTAAATCATAGTGCAAACAATCCCGATCCACATATTTATACTAATGGCGTTAAAGACACCAGCGATATCACCATCAACAAAGAAGTATGTCGTGCAGCCAAGATAGTCATCCAGGGATGATTTCTAGCTGCACTTATAGGGCTTGTATATAACTAGGCAAGAATCAGTATCGGTATGAGATGCAAAGAAGACCTACCCCCATGGCACATCTCCAACAAGCATCCAATCTCCATCTTTGTCTTCGTAAGTAAGAGCAAACTCCAGAGAGCCATCCAACAACTTTGAAATCTTTGCCCCATCTGTCATCATCCACACCAGTGAAATTATAACTCCATCAAATCCCAACATAATTAGTGTAAAGTAGAGACAATTGTGGATTTGATACAATTCCTTTGTACTATGACATAAAACATTTCGATTCTTAGGCAGAAAGATAAGTGATGAACTTACGGACAGAGGCCTCGATGGCAGAGGAAATGGTGGGCAAGCGAAACATGAGCTCAAGCGCGACGGCGAGTGCTTCATAAGAGTCATGGGCACTGAGATCCACCTTCCTACCAATAGGATCCCCATCCATTTTCACCTTAACGAAGAAGGAACTCCTCACTTTTCCTCTGCTCTCATGATCTTTGTTGCCATTGTCTGCCTTGCTACCACCGTCAGCGCCACCAGCGATGTTGCTCCTCTTGATGGCAACAGCAGAATCAGTCTCAAGGGTGCTGTCTTTGGAATGGTTGAACAAGTTGTTCATCCTGAATTGCCTGATAGGCGGCCATCCCACCACCACCTGACTGCTCCCAACCCAAATTTATTCAGGAATCAATCTAAGGATTAACATTACACAAATCTTTCAATAGAAATCAACAGCATAAGTTTGAGAGATTAAAAAAAAGGTTTCTTTTTCCCTTCTCACTCCTTTTCAAGAGGCTTTTGTGTACCAAATCCGTTACAACAAGCACTGAATACTTTCAGTCACTGAGATCTTTTTGCCTTTAAAACATACCATTGAAAAGATGACAGTAGAGGCTAATTAAAGTAGCATTCAAGGAAATAACGGTGACGATATGAGCAAAGAGAAAGGCAACAATATGAGGAGAGTAAAGATGGAATTTTTATGACTTTTCAGTCATTCGGCGACGAGAAGTAACAAAACGAAGGGGGAAAGGAAAAGATAAGACAGAGGAAATGTGTGGAAACAGAAGCCTAAAGTGAAGAGAAAGCAAGGGAAGGTGAAGAAAGGACCTCGGGCTCACCTGGGCGGGTGAGAGGAGCCACCGACGTCGTGCGAGACGGACTCCGCCGCCCGCTTCGTCCCAGCGACGCCAGTCCCGATCCCTCCGCCGAGGTTAGTGCCGGAGGAAGACGAGACGGAGGAGGCGGAGGGGGACCTGGGGGAACCAAGGGACGACAGGGACGGGAAGTCCTTTGCCGTCAGGATGCGGCAACACGGGCCCCACCGCGCCGCCGACGGCTCCGACTTCCCCCTTTTCGCCGCCCCCAGGGTCAGCCCCAAATCCAGCTCCTCTTCTCCCTCCTCCTCGCCATCGCCACTCAACACTTCCTCCTCCCTTTCCCCGGCCTTCCCTGGCGCTCCACCGCCGACATCATCCGCCACTAAACCCTCCTCCTCCTCCGCCGCCGCCGCTTCCGCCTTCGACACCGACCCAGGCGACGCCAAGCCTCCATCGTAGCCACGAACCATCTGCATTCTGCCTTCTCCCCTCTCGGGTGGTAGTACTTCTCCACTCAGGTGTTATAGCGTGAGATGGGAACCACAGCGCGGCGACGGGACCCTTTAAAGCAGCGAATCTGAAGAGCTGCAAGTGACACAACGCCGTCTACCCACACACACCCACCAATCACCGTTACGAGTCGTCAACGCTCGTGAGGCTCCGTGAGTCACTGGCCTCGTGCAGGTCTCGGGTTCTCGGAAAATTACGTGCCCGTGCGATGGTGGTGGGCCCCGACGACTTGTTGTTCTTGTTCTCTCTTTACAGCCCAGAGTTTCCCTCGCCTGTCTCACCTCGAACAGCGAACAACATTTTTTGAGATTACAGAGAGGAAGTTGACGTTATATTCTCGCAGTTATTAACATTGCCAGAGAGCCTCCCGTGTTCCCTGCCGAGGATCCGACAGCGCATCTACTGAGCACAAGCTGCCATATCTGTTGGATAAAGTAGCAAATAAGAGAGAGAGACAGGAGAGACGGGCTTAATTAACGGTAGATTAAGTGGATAATTGGGGTTGCTCTCACCCCCACATTCATTATAATGAGGGGACAAAGGACTTGGCAAGGGAAAGATGCTGGTTTGGGGCCAACACGACACCCATCCCATTGACTCACTCTCTCTCTCTCTCTCTCTCTCTCTGTCTCTCTCTCATAACATAAGATGGTTAAAGAAGATCCCGATAAAATGGGATCCATTATGTAAGTTATTTTAAATTTATGTTCTTTTTTTATTTTATGATATAAATCACATTCTTTACGTGAGAAGAGAAGAGATTAGTTATCATAGCACGCATAAAACCCCTTTATGTTCGATACAGAGCTGCATTTAGGTGTAGGACTTTCTTAATGGATCCGAGAGAGCGAATGTTCGACGTTTCTAACCCGATAACCGCCCGGCATAATCACATCAAACTCGACGATCCTTCAACGATTTGAGGAGCTGATACGGTGACAATGGTGGGACAAATTAAATCACGGTGATGTTTTTCTTAATCAAAGTTGCCTGCCCTAATTAATAATCCTCCCTCTTTCCTATCTATCATTGCCAATTTAAATCTAGCAAGTTGGACCTATTGCTAAATACCATAGTAATCATGCAAAGATGCTCTGTCTTTCTAATCATAAATTTAAGCGAGTCAATGGTTTTTCTTAAGCGCAC